CATCCCACGCTCACTGAGATGACCCAGCCGCATATGCCATAGCTTTGTACTGTCATTATCTGATTCCACAGAATGAACTCCACCTACAACTTTACTTCCTAATATTTTGTAGATATTACCTGCAGTTAACTTTCATTTTATCACAGTCAATGCAACCTTAACAAATTCGATGGTTTCCTTATCCTCATATGTTTTAGGAATAAAAACATTTCTATGTAAAGTGCCCAAAGAAATCAAATTTTTTTTCAAATCTAGAATATGTCTGACATCACATAATGTTCTAACAGTGTCATCATAAATCTTAATCCTAACTTCACTAATGCCAACAATATTGCAGCATCTATCATCATCCTCTATCATCATCCAAATAGACTGAGCTAGAATTAGTTAACCTGTATGAAGTAAACCACTTTTTATTAGGTGTTATGTGATAAGAACACCCAGAATCCAGAATCCATGCATCCGTAAACCGAGTTGATGAAACTGAGAGCACATCGCCATCACTGCAATCTGAATTTTCATTCTGCACCACATTCACATACTTTAATGAAATATCACCTTTCTCCCCAGTCTGCTTCTTCAACTTTGGACAATCTCTCTTCATATGACCTGACTCCTTGCACTTGTAGCAATGAATTTCCTTTTTGCCTCTAGACTTTGATCTGGAATTTCACCTTCCAGATCCCTCCTTCTCTTTCTTCCTTCCACGATCCTGCTTACTCTTCACCTAAAAACTGTCACCGTGAGAGCTTTCCCCTGCATTCTGCTTCCGCTGGTTGTGAGCCAACAACGCTGCAGTAATCTCATCAACTTTGATAGTCTCTTTCCCATATGTCAGAGTAGTCGTTCATAGGAAGAGGGCAACGAACACAATAAAATCATCGCTCGATCTTCATCCTCAATACTCACATCAAGCCGTGATAAATCAGTGATTATTTGATTGAAGCCATTCACGTGCTGCGCCAGATCAGAACCTTCCTGCATCTTCAGCCCATACAACTTTTGCTTCAGATACAACTTATTCGTCAGAGATTTAGCCATAAATTGAGTTTCCAATTTCTTCCAAACTTCTCCTGGAGATTTCAGATTCATCACGTGATACATAACCTCTTCTGTCAGACATAGACGTATCGTCGCTGCCGCTCGCTGTTGCAATTCTTCCCAATCTTCATCCTCCATGGCATCTGGTTTCGTCGCCCGCAAAGCTTTCAAGATTCCCTGTTGCGCCAACCGATCTTTCACCCTCGTTTACCACAATCCGAAGTTACCAGTTCTATCGAACTTAACCACCTCAAATTTTACACCAGAAAATGCTATCTGAAAAATGATCCTGCAACAAAACCTTTTTCTGCAAAAAAATTTCTCTGCAAAAATCCTTGCTTAGAATTTTTTTTTTAAATAAAGAAAAGAGAGAAAAAAATTGAAATAACCCTTAATTAAAATATTAACTTTAATTAACAAATTTCAAAAAAAGACTTCCCTTTTTTTTTTCTTCCTTTCCATGGGCTAAGGAAAAACCTACAGCAAGGAATATGAATCAAATAGGCTTAAATCCCTACATTATGCCTAACCTCATCATAAAACTCATGCCAACATTTTATATGCAAATCATGCAAAACCTTCATTAATCCACCATCAACATACATTAAAATATGTCATCTAATGAAACAAGTAGGTTAACATATATTAGCTTAGTGAAATAAACATATTATCATAAGGAAATTGCAACCAAGATAGGGGCTAGAGGATTCCTGGGAAACGCTTCATGATTATGCCCCACTTAACATTAATAAAGCTTTCGACATTTCTTATGACCTAGACATAAAAGGAGGATTTATCCATAGTTGTCAACTACCATAAAATATCATAGGAAAAAAAAATTGAAATATTACTAGACCAGTGTCATAGGAGTACGAGCTTAACCTCTGAAAAGGCTCAAAATTTGTGTTGTTTCTAATTTCTACTTTAGGATTGTAGAACATTTGTCCCTAGCAATTATGAACCTTCAAACTAAAATTAGAAGGTAGTAAACTAAAACTTAGTCTATTAGGAAAGTTGACGAGTTCCGTGTGAGATCAATACACAACCTCTTATTCTGTATATAACTTAATTAATACGTATACTTGCATAGTTGACTAATCTTTTTGCAGCAATTTCGACATCACTTAGATAAAAATAAAATCATAATACAATTTGGAAGACAGTTTATAAATTCAAGAAGACCGTCCATTACCTATCGATCAAGTATAAATCTAATAAAGAAGCAAGAAAAAATCCATTTGGATAGTATTATTCAATTTTATGCATACCAATTATAATAATATCTAATTAAGACTACAATTTACTATTAGGTTTAAGAAGAAAGTTCAAGAAACTTTAAGTATGAAATTAGATTTTAGCATTATATATCATCCCCAAATAATTAGTAGGTCATAATGTACTATTTAAACATTAGAAAACTTATTGTGAACTTGTAAACTTAATTTTAGAGATAGCTAGGATGATTATATTTCACTTGTAGAGTTTGTCGATAATAAGAATTTCAAAGTTAGAATTGAAATGCCATCATACAAGGATATTTATAATAAAAAAAGTGAATCTTCTTGGAGTTAATTAAAAGTAAGAGAAGGGAAATTTTTAGGAACTTAGATCAAGCTATAGTGCATAATCACCAAATTCAAGAATGACATTATTCATTTTAAGAGCATCAAAGAATACAACTTAAATCATAAGCACATAAAGATTAAATTTAATGTTAGAGATCATGTCTGTCTCAAGATCATACTTACACATGGAGTTTTATGACTCAACAATAGTGGAAGCTTCAAACCTATCTCATTGGATATTTTGAGGCAATTTAGAGATGTCATAAAGATTATTAAAAGTAGACTCTTCCTCCAAAACTTGGAGCACACAATGGCTTCCATATTTTTTTTAAGACGGTACTACGTGAATGATGATTTTCATAGTATTTAATTCAATCCATTGTTAATTTAATAAGGTCTCTGTGTACAAAAGTGTATTTAAGATATTGAGATTTCAATTCAATCTATCACTATACTTTAAAGAATTAGTCAGAATGAGAAGCATGTTAAGAAAATAAAAAAACGACGAACTTGAAGTGATAATAGTTACTTCAGAAGTAAGGTTTGGGCTCGAGTACAATAAATTTTTAATGAGTGTCTTATATAATGTCAAATAGGCTTAAATACACTAAATTATGCCCAACACTATCATAAGAGCCATGCCAACATTTTATATGCAAATAATGCAAACTCTCCAATTGTCCACCATCAACACACATTAAGATCCTGCGCTCCTAACCATCTTAACTCATAGTTAAAAGAACCATTGTATTAGAACATAATACACATTTCCCTTAGACCCTCTCTTCCACACATTCACCTATAGAGAGTGAATCCCCTTTTATTTAGATAATCATGAAGTTTTTTTCAATTGAATCCTCTCCTTCCTCTTATCATCCCTTGCCATAGCTTCCTTTCCTTATTGTAAATATGACTTGGCTATTTCATCTTTTCCACCAAAGTAAAAGGAATTCTATTTTTATTTTTTAAAATTCTCAATTGATCATTTAAATGTTAGTTGTTATGTAGGTTGGGATAAATTTTAACTAAATACTTGAGATTGTCTTTGTATTTCAATGTAATAAATTCAAAAGGATTATAAATTATTATAATAATAGGTTTAATTTTTTAAAAAATAGCTAATATATTTTAAGCATTATTTAGATATATAAAATTATATTAAATTTAATGGTCATATTTTTTGGCTTTATTTTTGCATTGAAGATATTTACCCTAAGTTGATCATAGTGTAACTTAGGTTAACTAGGCTTGACTAATGACTTCTAATGCATTTATTTAAGCCTTAAAATAATTAATTTTGGATGGATTAGGCCATTTGTTATTACAAAATTTGTTACTTAATATGGTTTTAAATTTTAATATAGGGTTTATTTTAGTAGTCTTAATTAGAAATAAGTAATTAGCTGACAAGTTAGGATCCCCGAAGAGCATAGTCCCGTGTAATGAAATTTGAGATAAGTAAGTTTTCTTTATTAATATTTTTATATACACTTCTTTGTTAAGTTTGTTACTCTCAATATTTGTAGAAATTTTTTTAGACATTTAACAATACTTCTCACAGTCAGCTATTGCTATACATGCCTAATAGATTTTGTTGCATGTTTATAACTGAACAATATTGCGAACTACATAATTTTTAGTTGAATAATTTCGTTTTCAATTTTTGTCTATTAATTATTATTTTTATTTCTTTAATAAAATCTTGATATAATTTGATGGACAGCATACATCAACGATCACATTTTTTTATTGTAAAACATACCACAAATTTTATGTCAGCAGTTTGATATTGTGATATATCACGTATAAATGAATGATTAAAAAATCAAAAAAATATTACATCAGTGCTACACACGTAGAAATAACATGCGTAGCCAATGAAATCACGCCACAACATCCCGCGCAACAGGGAAAAAAAAGCGGCGCAGTAACACGGGAATCCTCCCCCGTGTTATTCATATGTTATTGTGTGTTATTCATGTGTTATATAACACCAGGAATATTCCTAGGACACAATAAGTGCGGGGTGTCGTGACGTGATTTCATTGGCTACGCATGTTACTCTACGTGCATAGTACTGATGTAATATTTTTTTCTTAAAAAAGGTGAAGCATGTACTAGGAATTTCTCACAAATGTCCAAATGTGCCTTTCTCGTACAATAGAAGCCTAAAAAATAAATCAAAACGTAGAAAAAAACTCTCAAGTGGAAATAGAGAAAAAAACAATGTAGGCATGTTCCGATTTGTAGATGGACTGGTAGAGAAAGGTTTGGGCCGCCTAGAAGATCAACGAATAAAAAATAGTTAAGGAAAGAGGAACAATAGAGAATAAATTGCTTGTCCGCTGAGAGCAATAAACTTCCACTTCTGTATCATCCATGTAAATGCACTTCTCTCCAACAAACACTCCCCCAATACCATTTTCCTATGCAATGGAAATCCATAGAAAGTGAAGTTTTTTGCCGTGTTTTGTTTGCTACGAGTAAAAGAAAATGAAGGCACTAGGAAATCCAGAGCTAGCGAATGATTTAGAATTCATTTCATTTCCTCCCATCCAAACAAAGTTTTGGAAGAAGAAGAGTAGTGTGACTGATGAACACTAGACACCTCCAACACTTCGCTTCAACAACACAAGTATCCTGCTCTGCAGCCCTAACTGCATTGCCGAGCAAGACTCCCGAGTCCCCACTATTTTTTTCAACCATTTCACAATTTCTATCCTTTTTGTAATTCTGGTTCATCAGTGTTGGCTTATGGGTTATCATCCCCTCATATCAGTAACACAAAAACATGACTACTTGTTTGAATTGTAAAATAATGGTTGAATCAAGAAATTTGGTTTGTCAAATATGGCCTCCCTGAATCTTACGAGGGATGTACGCATCTGCAAGAATTGATAATGAATAAGCTGCCAATGCTTCTATCTCAAACTTCACCCCTTTATGCAGCATCATCTCTAGTTCCAACCTGACAATGTATAAGAACCCACTTTATCACCCAAAGTACGCACGCCTTGCAGCAACAAGGTGTTATATCATACAATAGTAAGAAGCATGCATTGAAATTTGAGTTTGCAAACTTTCCAAGGAATCTTGAAATGCTCATATTTCATTGAAAAAGAATAGAAAAAAAAAGAAATTATGGAATGATGACATAGACAGCACTAGCATAAATGGAGCTAGAATTGCAAAAATTTGTAGCACTAACCTCCACTGTGGAGCCTCCTGATGCAGATAACATCTTGACAACATTGCTTCAACTTTCTTCTTATCTAAACAAATGAACCTTAGTAGCATAAGAACAATGGATAATACAGCATTCTCTCAGTGCTCTGACGGCATAGCATTAGCATTTTACCTTCAGTAGTCAAGGTCAGGAGGCAACGTTCTGGAAGTTGGTACCTTTCAAGGTCAGAAAAAAATACTCCTAGCCAGCGTATCTCTGAGACACGCAGCAGCTTTGCATCGTACGACATTTGCTATTAAAGTATGAACAATATAGTGGTGTATTGTTCTCATTATTTTCCTTGTTACTGTCATAATACATTATAAACAAGAGAAACTAGACACCACAAACATGCGGGTTTTTGGGCATAAAATGAGTCTGAGCAGTACTTCTTAAACAACAATTGATATACACCATGGTCCATGGATCGCTGCAGGCGCAAATGAGTAAAGAGAAGAAGATTACCATTGAACCGAATCTGTAAATTGTCAAGATATCAAAACCATAAGGATCAAAATCCACTAAGCAGTATGCTGGCAAATGCAGTTCTTTGACAAGTAATCGCAAGAATCTGACAGAAAGTTAATGTTGTTTAATTGGTCAACAAAGAAAACATAAATCAAACAGTTGATTTTCACCAACCAAAACGAAATGGAGATGCCAGATGATACCTTCTAGTAGGAACGTCTGGATAGCCTCGCCCCTGCATAATATTGCTTTGAGGCATTATTGCAGATAAAATAGAAATATAGAAGTCGGCACAGATTGTCAAAATAAACGCATGCTTACTGTGATGACTATGCAATGATGTCTTTCACAAAATTTGTCATTTGCCAGGCGCTGAAAAACTGTTGTAAGAACAAAGAGAAATAATTAAGTGATGGTCATATTTTTTCCCTTTTTTTTCTTTTTTTCTTTTTTATTTTTTATATTTGATGGATTCTAGCCTTACCTGATTCTTTCTCCACAACAAGAATGTATTGAGCAACACTCACAATATCTGTAGTATCAATAACGTCAACTTTATGCGACAAGATATCTATAAAGCTCAAGTAACACAACTTGAATTAATAAACATGCATTAACATGATAAGGCTAATATACAATAAGTTGCAATCAATAATCTATTTTCAAAAAAGATATTTGATACTTCATAGGCCTTTTTATACCATAGTTTAACATTTTATAGAATTATATTTCCATCATTCATCTGAAAAATGTAAGAGAAAACTTGGGAAAAAGCCCACCAAAAGACAATAACTTAATAGGGTTTCCTCAAGAAGCGTGTTTAAAACACCAACCTATGATAATATGCCTCCACTCAAAAGGGTGAGTTATTGTGTTATAGAACGATGCTTCCATTATGCACCCAGCAAACGTTATAGCAGCTAGGAAAGAGCACATTAATGAGCAGCTACATTAATCCTTTTTCTCCTTTGTGTCATATTGAGTATGATATTTTCATTTAATTCTAATAAATTATGATCATTTTTATTAAAACATGTCCATGTCTTTTTAGGTCTATCTCTAACTTTCTTAACATAAGTCAAATCTAAAACATCTACTCTCCTAACTGAGTAACTGGATCATTTGAAGGTAGACGTTTAATGTGACCAAATCATCTAAGGTGACTCTCCCTAATCTTGTCTACCACTGGATCTACTCCAACCCTTTTACGGATATATTTGTTTCACATTTCATCTCTAAGTGTAAAGTCACTCATCCAACTTAGCATTCTCATGTCATCAACACTTAACTTATTTATGCTTTCCTTTTACAAGCCAATATTTTGCACCATGAAGTATTGTAGGTCTCACTATCATCTTATAAAATTTACCTTATAGTTTAAGCGGTTCTTTTCTATCATACAATAATCTTGATGCATTCCTCCACCTAAACGATCCAACTAAAATTTTATTTTAATAACATCCCCATCTATATGACCACTACTTTAAACGATAGACCCAATATATCTAAAACGATCACTCCTTTTAATGACTTCATTGACCATTACTACAACTCCGCTGTTAGATCTACTACTACTATAATTACATTTCATATATCCAATTTTAGATCTAGTCAAACGAAAGCTTTTACTCTAAAGTTGAACTCCATAATTCAAGTTTTTCCAAAACTCTCTATAGTCTTATCCACAAGAAAGATATCATTAGCGAAAATCATACACTAAGGTACATCATCTTGTAAATGTCATTCATAGCTATAACAAAAAGATATAGGATTAAAGTTGATCCCTGATGTAATCCAACATAAACAAGAAAATACTGTCAATCCTCCTTGTGTTCGAACACAAGTAGCAGCTCTACCATACATATCTTTAATGATTTGAATATATGCAATATCAATAATTTTTTTTTTCTAGAACTCTCCAAAGTACTTTTCTAGGAACCTTATCATATATATTTTTTCTAAATCAGTAAAATCAAATGTAGATCCTCCTTACTCTCTATGTACTTCTTGATCAAACATCTCAATAAATGTATAACTTTCATAATAGACTTGCCCGACATGAATCTAAACTGATTTTGAGAAATTTTTGTACAACTTTATAACATATGTCCAATTACTCTCTTCCATGAATTTAATGTATGACACATTAAGTTAATTCCTCTATGATTTGCACACAATTGTACATCATTTATTATTAAAAATATAAACCAATAAACTCTTTCTCCACTCATTGAGTATCTTTTTATTTTTTAAAATTATGCTAAAAAGTTTAATAACCAAAAACTTTTCAAATCTTCTAAATATTTAAAAACTTCTATTGGAATACCATTAGGTCCTACTATTATTTCATACTTCATTTTCTTTAAAGCCTCAACTTCCATTTTACTGAAGCGACGATAGAACTAAAATTTTTTATTATTATTTACAATATTAAGATCCCAAAATTCAATCATATTTCACAATCTTCATTGAGAAATTTATCAAGATATATTGCCCACATATATTGAATATTCTCTTCTAAAAAAAACACTTTTTGGTTTTAATCCTTAATGCACTTTTCTCGAACTAAATCTTTACATTTCTTATCTCTTTGTTTGACTAATTTATACATAAAAAATTCACTCTTTTTTGTATTTAATTTATTATGAAGATCATTAAAAAAATTTTTTAACATAAAAAATTATTCTCTCAGACTCTCTATAAACGACTTTATATTTCTCTTCATTCTTCATGCAATTACATCTAAAGCAATTTTTATCATAAAATTTCTTATTTTTTATATTTTCCTGTACATTATTATTTAACCACAAACAATTGTATTCATAAATGTTTCCGTTCTAATTCTTCAACTATATATTTTGCAATTTGCTTAATAGTACACCTTATTTTATCCCATATAATATTAGCTTCTTAAGATTTTGAAGTTTACTCATAAAATTTTAAGTGTCCCCATCTAATACTATAACAATATTTTATTATATTTTTCAACTTTCGACACTTCATTTTAAAATTCAAAACTAATGCACGATATTGAATTTTTAGCCTTTCACTTGAAATGACCATACAATCTTTATAACCTCGACAATTTATTTTTCTCGTAAGAAAATAATTAATTTATGTTTTATTAGATACATTCTTATAAATAATAATATGTTCATCTTTCTTTTAAAAAATAGAATGTTAGCAATAAGAAATTCACAAGCTAAAACAAAAGCAAATATGGCTCTAACCTCTTCATTAGTCACTCCAAAACAATAGCCACCATGAATACTTATAAAATCTTCTACCACTCCACCAACAAGTCTATTTAAATCTCCAACAAAAATTCTTTCTTGAAAAGGTATATCTTTTGTATTAATTCTTTTAGATAATTCTAAAATTTTTATTTTAAGCATATATTCAAACCTACTTCAAAATCATAAACACTTATAACATTAAGAATCTTAATATCAACAACAATCTTTAGAGCTATACTTTTATCTCCAATTCTAATAAATTTTACAGCATTATCTTTCAAGCCCTTATCTATAATTACATTTACATAATTTCTAGGATGACTTCTATCTGAATAAAAAAAAAATTAAAGTCTAAGCTATTAATTTTTTTAGTTTTTTCTTCAATGAATTTAATTTATTGAATGCATAAATATTGTTTAATTTAATTTCTTGAATGCATAAAGTCTAAGCTATTATCTTTCAATGACAATTGCATCTATGGTCGAGTAATATGTGTTTTCTAAAATACTTAAAAATATTCAAAAGTTATTTTTGAATGTTATAAAGACAATTTCATTTATTTATTTAAAAATAAAACAATTAAAAAATAAAAATACAAAATTTCTAAAATAAAATAAAAAATAAATGATCTCAGTTAGTCCACAATATTCAAAAGTCCCCTCAAAAGAAGACTCACAATTCGTTTATGCATTAAGCTTTAACACTAGGCAACCGCTAAGAAAGCTATCAAGAACTTCAAAAGTTCAAATTAGAAGTGTCTTTAGGCTGTGCTTGGAAGCAAAAAAGTGAAAAAAAAAAAAAAAAAAAAAAAACAGAAGCGATTAAAAAGGTAAAATCAAGGGTTGGATTTCATTGCAATTTCTCCACCTTCAGACAAAACAAATAAAGTCTGTTTAACTCACAGAGTCATATAAAAAAGATAATGATCCTTCAAAAAATTGTTGTCGTCAAATCTACAGACCAATAATGTGACGCTACTGAGAACCTCATTCTGATGAGATAATTTCTAAAAATAGCATTCAGAACTGCAAATTTGAAAACAGAATAATTTTCCAATCTAGTCACCTAGCAGATTCCAGATAATGATCCAGGAAAAATGGTTCTAATCTATCTACCTCATCAGAAAATCATAAAAATTAACATAGAGAGCGCAACATGGCTATTAGAGAGCTCATGTCGTGTAGAAAAATTCTGAATTTTCTATTCATAGATATTTTAGTTTTTTACGCCTCTTAAATTTCATGACTTTTTAGAGTTGCTCAAGTTAATGTCATTAGGTTATTAAGCAGTTTGTTAGTAGTTTGGCAATAATTTATCAGCAAGTTTATCACTAATTTATTATTTCTTCCATCTGTAAGTATGAAAACTATCAATTAAGATATTCTTATTGTGGGTGTGGAGTGTTGACCTTTCATACTGCTCTAAAAGTCAGATCGAGCAAATATAATGACAATAGCATATGATGGATACAGTGTTAGGTGAATCTAATCGGGATTGGCTAGAGCACAATCAAATTGCCCAACATCGCAAATTTACAAAACAAGTGATGCTAATGAATTTGAAGAGTCAAAATTTCCCAAAGAGCTCTTCCATAGGCGATTCGGCCAAGCATGATGAAAATGGTGGACTACGAATATGATATCAGGTGTATGGAGTTTAAAATATCTTGATCCTCGCAGAAATAGATTAAACATCCCTCATTTACAAAGCAGCCAACACTAATGCATCCAAAACATTCAAATTTCTTAGAAAAGACACCTACGTTGCTTGGATCCTCGCATAAATGCAACATAGGTTTTATTAGATTATTGTAGGACATTTCTATTTGTTTATGGTTTTTCATGATACTTTAGATATTTATGCTTCTAAGAACATGCCACTTCACTTAAGAGACTTTCATTCCTCATTATGTTTTATATTTACTTTAGTAATGTTATTTTCTTATAGCGGTTTTGTTCGTAACCTTATATGATTGTAGCTAATTCATTGATGCCTATGTGTAAGCTACTTCGATACCGCAATACATGGATACAACTAAAGAAAGACGTGGAAGGAGAGTTGCAGCTGCAGTATGCTTGATGTACGTACACTATAACTAGCATGACATAATCATATGTTGGTGGCAAATGAGTTGGGGAGTTGCTTGCAAGCCACCCAACGGGATTTATCAATATGTTATGCATGACACGAGCGATATTCATTGATTTGCTGAAGAAACTACACAAAAATTATGAATTTCACGGCTCATCCAGAACAACCTCAGAAAAGGTGTTAGCAATAACACTCTACATATTAATGCATAATGAATTAATGCGAGAAGTCATGAAGCGATTTCAACACTCTTCTGAAACGATTTATAAATATTTCTCAATAGAGTTGAATGCACTTGTTAGTTTTTCTTCACAAGTTATAAAACCAACAGATCCTATATTCGAACAGACCCCAACAAAGATTTGGTACAATGCGTATATGTCGTACTTTAAAGAAATTTCTCTTATTTATTATATTCAATTTTCATATAAATATTGTAATTACGTAACCTTTTGTTATATTTCTAGAATTATATCAGAACAATCAATGGAACACATGTTGATGCGCGTGTTCTAAATAATGAGAAGAACACATTCATTAGCTGTTATGGGTCCCCGACGCAGAATGTTATGGCGGTATGTGACTTCAACATGTGCTTCACTTTTATTATGATCAGTTGGGAGGACAGTACACATAACAACCGAATGTTTAAATATACAACACGAAAAAAAAATACAAATTCCTACATCCACCCACAAGTTCTCTTGAGAATAAACAACTCTCCTAATTCTTTTTTCCTTCAACATTATTCATTCAATTCACATCAGGTAAATACTATTTGATCGATGTTGGGTATTCGTTGCAACGAATGTATCTCAAGCTCTATCCTGACACGAGATACCACATATCTGATTTTAAGTGAGCCAACAATGTCGCACGGGCAAGAAAGAAATATTCAACAAAAGATATTCCTCCTTATGCTGTGACATTGAGAAGACTTTTGGTGTTTGGTTATATTTCGCGACATGTCATCTTACCCGTTTCTCAAACAGATGTAGATTGTAATTGCTACGACGACTCTGCGCAATTATATTCGGTAGCATTCTTCCTAAAACAACATCGACTATCATTGGGCGGACGAGGATCAAGAACATGTCTCTGCCAAGACATATAAGTACCGTCTTGGACAGTCTTTGACATAGGCTAAAAATGATATTCTCGAGGCCTTCACTAAAAACGGGGAAGGTGAAAGTGAGATGACAAAGTTGGGGGAATGAATTACGAATGCGATGGTTGCAGAATGATTAGAGGGAATGTTAGTTTTTATCATATTATTAATTGTAGTAGTTGTTGAAGACATCCACTATTTCTTATATCAATATTTTATACAGCTCATATTTATTTCGGTTCCTTATACATTTGATACTTAATGTTTTTATTTTTTTACGCAAATTGTATGTGTTTTTTTTCTTTTGCATTTCTTTTTTTTTCTTTTGGTGGATTTTAGAGATATATGATGAGACGTTTGATCTTATGGGTTGTTCTGGATGGTCTGTATATTGTTATTGGATGATGTCAAATGTGAAATCCTTATGAAGACAACCAAGTTCCACTTTTTTTTTCGGTGCTACAATTTTTGAGGTTCTTCTAGATGTCTTTTTAATTATGATATGCATATGTGATACATACAAACTTGATATTATATGGGTTAAAGAAAACCAAATTTTTTTTTTATAAGGTCAAAGAATCATTCATTGGTTTATATGTCGTCATATATGTTGTCTTCATAATTATTAATTAAATAATATTTTTTTTATTTTCGTAGTTATGTTACTTACTGTTAAGTGAGGTGTTTATCTTTATTTTATAATGTGTCGCACTAGATATTTGCTTTTAAAGTATAGAATGTGCTGATATGAACAATTATGTTGCAAACAATATTATTATACAGGGGCAGAATAGTCATTTGTCCAGAAACTGCTGCAACACTGTTGTTTTCAAACTGCAAAAAACAAACAGACAACGAGTTTATGCTTAGCAGCTTCTGCACAACAACTTCCTGTCGCAGCTCCTGTCGCAGCTGCTGCGCAACAACTTATTATTAAGCTGCAACTGCCCCAAAGACCATATCGCGAAGGTTTTGAACTTTTGAACTTGATCCTCTACCATTGAGGTTGAATTGATAAGGACCATATCGCGAAGGATTTTCAAATAAATTTAAATCATATGAAAAATCACAAACCCGGTCCTGTGGCGGCAAGTGTGCAAAGAAAACAAATTTCAAACAACAAAATTCAAAATTTCAAAAAGCTTGATGATTGCAATGTTAAACAAAAATTTCAACAATAGAAGATTTTATCATCAAAATGCCCCATGTTCTATCCAAATCTTTTAGAGACCTAAATTCACAGACATACAAAAGATTAAGAAAATTATAAAATTTAAAATTCACAAGTGAAATTTATTGTCGAAACATTAAAAAAAAAATTCATTGACTTCTCACAACAGTTGTCAAGTGAGACATTTAATATTAACCTAAGCTACCAAAAAATTAGTATCATATCAAACATAACTCTATATTTACTCGTATAAGAACTCAAGAGAATAAAAATGATGACATCTAATTGTGTGATTTTGCCACTAAATTGCATCACAAAAAGAATTGTTATGATTGGTGATCTATAACCAACAATTTTTTAATGAAATGACACCACTATATTATGCTTATGGACAAAACTTGAATATTCCCCAATAACTCAACTCCCTTAAGTTGTGAATCATAGGGTGTGTTTGATAGAGTACAGGGCACTCTGTTAGTTAAATTTGACTAAAAAGTATTCTCTTAGACAAACATCCACCATAAGCCTATAAGATCATCGGATGACGAAATCCACGAGTACTTATATGGATCCATTGCTAGGTTGGGTCAACTAACTCATCTAACTAAATAGGCCATGGTCCATAATAGCCCACGATGACCAATCGATGGAAGCTTGATCGAGTTCATTATCATTCACCCAACCACCAACTCTAAACTATTGGTGGTAAATTTCTTTATTGTAAAACTAAAATTTGTTGTGACTAAGAGTAATCAACACAAGCTGCCCAGCCTTATTGTAAAATTTTCTCTCAACATCGGGAGGGATATTTAACCATAGGGGCTTACATAGGAAACTTGGGACCATAACTTAGTGCCCATTTTGGGCAGCTTATAGGGTGAGGCGGAGTTTTGAAAAGGGTGAGGCGGAGTTTTGAAAACGCCACCGCCCTGTTTGAATATCACGTCGGTTGAACGATTTGGTGTCGCGGTGTTCGGATATCACGATTTCCTTAATACCTTCGCAAGTCGGAGGAACCCTGCGTCCCGCGTATGATTTTTGCAAGAATTCCTTTGTTGCCCTTCCGAGATCTCCCTCGCCCTCGCTCTTTCGAGAAGAATCGACCCTTTGCTCCTTCACATTGACAGAGATCGGCGCACATAAGGTATTATCTTCAGCTGATTATGCCTTCCCAATCGTAGGAAACTTCTCTCGCACTCGCCTCCTCCTTCTTTCTCTTCTCCTTCTCTTTCTGCTAGGGCATGAGGGTTCAATGCTTCAGTAGGAATCATTGCCTTCTTGCCCCAGACACATGAGAATTCCTTCCGCTTCTTCCTTCATCTCTATTGCAAATTTATGCTTCGGAATGTTGGATTTTCAAATATGATGCAGTTATTTGAAAGAGCATAAGCTTTCCCATGGCTTTCTTACATACTTATGACCTTGTTCTGATGCCTCAAAATTTTCTGAGTTACAATATTGAAACGTTGACATGCTACAAATCAAATTTGTGCATGTAATGAGGGGGAATGTTGGAATGTTTGGGAATTTTGGTTCTATCTTTGCTTGCACATTAGTGGAATGCTGTCTCATTTCTATGTTTCGGTATAATGGGGCATTCTACATTCATACAGTGGAAATGACATTTTACATACATACAGTGATATTGGTTGTGGCAAATTTCTATCGAAATACAAACGACTTTCCAATGCATTTGAATTATCTTTCCAATGAATATGAATGTAGGTTTGTACATAGGAATTCTGTGATATTTGGGTGATGAAGGTAGCCCTTGTTTCTTATACATTCATGTGCCGACCTGAGAGCTCATGGTGGAATGCCTGTTAAGATCAATTGCAGTACACGATTTCATTATTGTACTTGACATTTGTTTTATCTATTATTTTCCATAAACAGTTATGTTGCAAACAGCTTAACCGAACAGCAGCAGAATGATCATTTTCAACAACTCCTAGTAAACTGTTCTGAATAAACTGTCCCAAAAAGCAAGTTAGTTTATTCTGATAATCTGCAGATTATCAGAATATCAGAATAATCTGCTTATCATCAAATTATAAATAGTCAACAGTTGCCCCAAACAGACCCTTAAAATCCTTATAAAATAGAGCAAAATCTTTCGGTAATGTCTAGCCAAAAAAAACAATGTCTTCTAAAAATTTGAACCATAAATATATAAAGACTCTCCTAAAACTCTCTTCGGACAGTTGAGAGAAAATTATTGGAGTCCAAACTATATCAAGCTCACCGTACAACATCAAATCAATCACAAAAGCACGCAATCATACAATTTTGGAACAATCTATCTTTTGCACACAAGAAGCGAATATGTTCAAATTATTCGAGGCATCCTACAGAAATAAATCCCAAATGAATCGGTGGTGAAAGGCTTGGAAAATGGTTAATGGCATGAAAAAGAATGACATTTTCAATCAGAAACAAGAACATCACATTTCCTTGTGTTTACTAGTTAATACCATCATTCTATTGTAAATCTGATCTAAGAAAACTGCATTGATGAAAATTAAATTAATGTGTGTTCTGGGGCGGGGTGTTTGGTGTGGTCTTGTGCCAGTGGTATTATCATGCATTAATTTGTTCTAGCAGAGACGATTGAAAATATTAACATGTGCATAAACAAAAAAAACACCATGCTATTCAATTCCCTTGGCCATTTCATCCAAGTACCTTCAACTTCTTCAACGCAAACAGGAATCATATAAGCCTGCAAATAACCCATTTCAGCGATCAATCCAATAGGAGTTTGAAATAATCTCAAATAAGACTCTAAGGTCAAATTAAAAATTAATAAGGAAGTTTCAAATTTCAGGAGGACAAGCACAAAAAATCTTACAGTGCTGGGACTTTCTATGCAAGAAATAATTCTGCCAGCATCCAAAAATCTTAACCAACCCATGACCAGACTAAAAAAAAAAGAATCAGAGGAGACAAGCTCGGCAAAATTCATGCAATGAAACATATAAGTTCAAATTGTATAAATTATGTAGAATATTTTTATTGATATGAAATGTGGAATATATAACCCTTACATGAATTCTAGAATATGAAAGAAAATAGAAAAGAAATACACGAAAAGAAAGATATTACACCTAATATCTCCAATTAATCAATTCATGTTAATTATTTGGAGATAAAGTTAACAACATAAAATATGAAAGCCTAAAATATGAAAGAAAATAAATCCAATCCAAATAATAAATCTAAAATAGTAAAGGAAATAAAGTTATATTAGGAAATAAATCTTATCCTCCTAACTTCTAACAAAAATAAATTATTTCCTAATATAACTTCTAATATTGCCACTCAAGTTGCAATATGGTTAAAAACAATGTTCAACTTGTATTTGAAAACATCAAACAATGGACGAGGGAAATCCCATGAAGTAGAACTTGAAGCCTTCACCCCGAATTGCAGTTATCTTTGACTGCAGTTCCTCTAGTATCTGTAGGTAGGCAGAAGACTCCTACAGATAATGTTGCAGGAGAGTTTGCTGGGAAGTAGATAACCTACAGAAAAATTGACTTCCAGTTGATTGTGATTGTCTTTAAGTGCAATTCTTGCAATGTCTATAGGTAGACAAAACACTTCTATAAGTAATGTTGCAAGGGAGTTAGAAGGGAAGTAGACAACCTCAGAAAAATTTGACTTCTAGTTGATCACGGTTGTGTTTGGCTGCAGCTCCTACAGTGTTTGTAGGTAGGCGGAATGCTCCTACAAATAATTCTACAGGTGAGTTTGCAGGGAAGTAGACATTCTCCAAAAAAAGCTACAAGGTAAGACCTGCAGAAAAAAAAGAAAAAAGGAAAAAGACCTAGAGGAGGGCCTGCTGCATAAAAAAGGCTTCGAAAAAAAGCTAGCTACAGAAAAAATTATGGAGGGCTTACTGCAAAAAAAAAGCACTAGAGGAAGGTCTGCTGCAGGAAAAGTTCTCAATGAGGGCCTAATATAGGGAAAAGCTTCGGAGGAGAGCCTACTGCAGAGAAAAACTCAAAAGGAGAGTTTGTTGTAGTGAAAAGCTCCACAGGAGAGCCTACTACAGAAAAGGCTCAAGAGGAGGGCCTGTTGCAAGAAAAATCCCAACTTAGCAGAATTCTAACCCTAAGCATGCATTGGGCTTATGACTACGTACGAAAGGAGAAAGAATTTCTAAGGCTACTGGTTGGGATGTCCTTGTTGCGATTCTTTTGAAGTCAAACAACAAGTACGTAACGGGCAGAGCCATGTCCATTTGCTCCACAATCTTTCTGATTTGTGGCTTAAACCCCATGTCAACCATTCTATCAACTTCATCTAATGCTAAATACTTGATCATTGATAATGACACTAACCCTTTCAAGTGGATCAACCAATCTGCCTCGAGTGACAACAAGTACATCAACACCCCTCTTGAAGTCCCGCAACCGATTATTAATTGAGGTTCCACCATAAGCAACAACCACCTTAATGCCAGTTTGATAAGCCAACTTCCTAACCTCCTCATGTATCTGAACAGAAGGTTCGTGGGTTGGCGATAAAATCAAAGCAAATGGGAAAACAATTCGAGCTCTTTTAGTTCTCTATGCAGGCGTGCTCCTCATGATCCTACTTATAATGGGAAAGCAAAATACTGTATTCTTTCCCGACTCTGTCTGTGCATAGGCCATCTGATCTTGGAATTGCATGCCGTTGCACTGGTCAGATTACATGCATCGCCTAATGTTCTCATTTAAAGTCGATCCAAGATCAATCTCAGAAAAGGTATTGGCGGTAGGCGACACATTATTACCGCTAGTCTCAACCGAAATTTCTTCGTAAGCATCAAAATTTATCTCAATTTTATGTTGTTCATTGAAAGCCGCTTCGGTTTTATCATCCTCATTTCCAAAAGGATTGACTTTCCGATCCCCACCTCGGTCCCAACCACTGTTCTGGGAACTCCACCCACCACTACCACATAACAGATGCTTGTCACCATAGCTGGAGCGGCAGACATCATGGCCACCCCCACCGCTTACACATTGATTAACACCAGAAGGTACGGGGTACCCTGAAGGCCTACAAGCAGTAGAGCCACCGCCGGGCTGCGAAAGAGCGTGGGGATTTGAAGCAGGAGGACGATTACAGAGATGAGAGACGAAAGAATTAGCTCACAATGAGAAGCCACCGCAGTACCAGCGTTGGGGGAGGTGGTGTCGTTGTTTCCAGATACCGCGCCCGCCAAGATCTCAGCGTTCGCGACGGAATCAACCCATGATGATTGCATGAATGAAGGAAGATGTGCGGACTTCAAACCTACTGCCTAATGCAACATGAAGAGCCAGAAATAGATTGAGGAAACAATTCCAATATGAAGTCTAATGAATCACTTTTTAGAAACAGAAGAGAGAAGAACAGAACCGCCCAGAAACCCTTCAATTGATTGAATGGAGAGAGAGGTTCCGATGATAGATCTCCACTGCCAGAGACTCTAGGATTTGTTTCACGACTCTGATGCTATGTTAAAATTCAGAATAATGTGGAAAATTTTTATTGATATGAAAGAAGTTATGAATAACCCTTACATGAATCCTAGAATAAGAAAGACAATAAGAAAGAAACAACAGGAAAAAAAAGTTATAACACCTAATATCTCCCATTAATCAATTTATATTTATTATTTGGAGATAAAAGAAACAACATAAAATAAGAAAGCCAAAAACATAAAAAGGAATAAATCTATTCCAAGAAAATAAATCTAAAGTAGGAAATGAAATAAAGTTATATTAAGAAATAAATCTAATCCTCAGAACTACTAACATGAATAAATTATTTCCAAATATAATTTTTAACATATATGTGAATATATATATATATATATATATATATATA